GTACGGTTCACTTTTGGGGGGGTTTCCACTGGGTACAGTACCTGGTACTTTTTTTAGTACCACCGCTTTTCCACTGTATGGTACGGCTCGGTACGGTTCACTTTTTGGGGGGTTTTCCACTGGGTACAGTACCTGGTACCTGGTACTTTTTTTAGTACCACTTCGGTTGGGGTTCCAAGTGGACCGTACCGTTACCAAAACATGACGTGTAAACTCTGCTGATCACGGATTGGCCGGAGAGAATCGTCACTACCTGCGTCACTGAACTTGCGACACAAACACAAAAGAACTGCTAGATTTAAATCAGCACAGCCAGCGAAGGATCGAACGCAACTGTTTTGAACGAGCGCACCTTTTTTTTAACAACCAAAACGTTTTGTTGTCTGTTGCGGAAGTACAGACATTCCTCTCGTTGATAGCAGAGGAGCGGATCCAGCGAGAGCTTGATGGGGCGACACGGAATGAAAACGTTTTTTTTTAGGAGTCGTGGTAGTAGAGGCGGCGCAACTATAACGACATATGAATAATCCTGTCCACTCTAAAGCGGTACTGAACTGCAGTGGAAACGCGAACCGTGCCGAGCCGAACCGTGCCGTGCCGTACTGAGCCGTACCGAGCCGAGTCGTACCACGCAGTGGAAAAGCGCCATAAGCAACTAATAAAATCGACTATTGGGGGCAGCCCTAGTAAACAGAGTGACATTTGACAGTGATTATGAGAATAAGTAAGTCTCACCGTTGTAGTTTTCACTCTGCCACTGGGCTGTGTACAAGTCCAGCCTGATTTGTTTACTAACAGGTCACAGCCTTCATCCTCTAGACAGGGCACCATGTCACACCACTGCCTGGTCTTCACGATACGAGCTGTGGATCAAGACCAGAGAAAAGGTTAAGATAATATGATCCTGAAGGCAAGTAGAAACACAGAAAACACACACACACACACACACACAATGCACCCCCCAAAATATTTGTACACTTAACAATGTATGAATGTGTTTGCATTAGATGACAAAATGTCAAACCAATTGGAATTTTTTTAAATACAGACAGCACAAGCACTCTTCTCAATAAAACATATTTCACAAAATAAAGTTTGTTAGTTTGGAAATGATAATAAACAATATATACTGTTCATATTTAAGACAAAAGTATAGTGACACTTTCTGCTTGATAGACAAACACGTCCATAATTAATGTGATGAACTAACTAATTGCTAACTGACATCACACATCGACTAAAAATCACCTGCTGGTAATCATACTACACCAAATACAATGGCACTATAGCTGAACCTTTTTAGAATGAATGCACTACTTTCTAGTGATACCATTTATAGTGAGTTAGCTACAAGCATGTGTCAGAAGATTTCACTTTTCACCCCATCAGAGCTGTCCCCGCCTGTCGAGTATAAAAGAGGTTACTGTAACACACTGAACTAGTGTTGTGTATGACATGACATGACGTCTCCTCTACTCTTAGGAGAAAGACATCACCCTGTTGAAGCGTTTTACATAAGCGCGAGATAGTAAAAATAGTTCAGCATTCGAATTAGATTAAAAATTAAAGAAAAAAATAAAGAGATTAAAGGTTTGTCACAGATTTCTCACGTAGATGTATGTTCATTATGGATGACTACTTTTATGTAAAAGTAGGCCACTTTAACATACCTGCATTAGCATTAGTCCCTTGGGAGAGACAGTGACAGTTTCTATATATACTAAATGACATTACATTTCTTTAGAAACTTATATTTCAAACTTTACATGATCTTAAAAATGTGTCATGTAAGTGCAATATATTAAAACACGTGCAACAGGTTTACATTGTAACGTTACATAACTGTTACAATGACCATGTCTCATTTATTTTAGATCCCACAATAAGCAAAAACCTGTAAGGTTACAGTTTTAGAAAAGAAGAAAAAAAGTATGTTATGCAATACCAATATAATTATAGTTGAACATGAATAGTCATGTCTGATATTTTGTCTCCTGTAATAATGAATACATTTTTAACAATATATTAGTTATATAATAATTATATATGATGCAAATTAAGAGATACTTTCTTTCTTTTAGTATTAGTAAAATATTAGTGAACGTGGAAATCTCGACCTTCTCTCATTATAGTTATGTTTGTTTGCATGCATGCAGTGTCAAAGTTGGAAGATTATTCAGTTAAGTTGTTGTCCTGTATACCTTTTTATTGCCAGTATATTATGACTTATATCATATACAAACAAAATGTAATTGCCCACACTGCAGATACCAGCACAAGTTATCTTCATACATTACGACACAACATGCCAGCTCTATTTCTTGACAGAATAAATCAAACATGTCAAAGAAGTATATTACAATGTCTATTTTTCTGCAGTGTTTTACTATGTTTATTCTTATATGACTGCTGATGTAATGCATCTCTGAGAGCAATATTTAGAGGCATAAAGAGAATTAGATTAATCAGGGCACAGGATAATTACCTGCTGATTTGCTTTTTTTTTTTTTTGCTTTTTTACCTCTGATGAGTCTTTTGTGAATTTCAGATGCCACAAGGAGACAAAAGGGGGTGCAATCAGGCCTAATTGTAGGTGTGATGGAGGAATACAGTGCAACTGTAATCAAGACAGCTGAGTGGCATTAAGACGTTTGCTTCGGTGTCACTCAAATCTTTCTATGGATAGGGTAATTATCCTTTTACATTTACATTTACATTTACATTTAGTCATTTAGAGGTCAGTAGGATTTTGTGATTTGCGCCATACTCTTTCTGCAGCTCTGAGCTTAGAACGATACTCACAGAGAACATCAGGTAGCCAAGGGGCAGAATAGGTGGTACGAGCTGGCCTGGAAGACAAGGGTGAGACAGTGTCTAAACAAGACGTAAGAGTGGAGCAGAAAGTATCAGTAGCACAGTTAACATCAAGAGATGATAACAGTTCAGGAGAAGCAAGCAAAGATGAAACATAGCAGATAGCTGGGAGGGTGAGAGAGAGCGTAGGTTACGTCGAAAAGTGACATGTGTAGGGGTATGTGTTGTGTCAGGAACCATGCTGAGGTTAAAGAGTGAGGAGGAAGTGATCCGAGGTGTGCAGTGGAGTAACGAGCACATGATCAGTGGAGCAGTGTCGTGTGTAAATAAGGTCCAGTTGGTTGCCTGATTTGTGAGTAGCCGTAGTTAATACTCTCTTGAGATCAAAAGAAGCAAGCAGAGTGTGGAAGTCTGCAGCCTGAGGTTTATCTAGGTGGATGTTGAAGTCTCCAAGCATAACTAGGGGAGTACCATCCTCAGGAAAGTTTGAGAGCAGCACATCTAATTCTTCCACGAAGTTACCTAGTGGTCCTGGGGGTTGATAAACAACTATAA